TGTTTTATTCATCAACCAATAAGAGAAACATATACAAAAGGACATCCCCATCAAGTCTTACACTCATTTAATCATTCATTTATATAGAATATCACAAGCATATGTATATTATATATACATTGTTGTTTAACATTTGTTATTCATTAATTTATCATATAGTTAGTGAGCCTCAACTTTAACCAACATCATGCTAGGCTCTAAGACTAAAAGTAACTAACTAAATAAGTAGTTTCCTTCCAAAGCTTATGGTACAGTGGGTGAGACTGTTGCTTTAATAACGTTCCAAAGAAATGCTCGACTAGGTTACACTTGGTAATAAGCAATATTTAGACAAGTGTAAACTAATGCTTTGAAATACTAACCTGTAACATAAAGACTGGTGGTGATGATTGCAAAACACTGAAACTCACTGAGCACTGAAGGGAAACAGCCTGTAAAAGAGGTTAAAACTGTGAGGAACGGGGACACTGGATTTACAGAAGGTTTCCTTAGAAGGATGGAGCCAGAACACAAGAACAGGGCTGGCTTTGGGTCAAAGGGAACTGTCTCAATTCAGAATCAAAAGAAGTGAAGACGGGGCATGCAGGACTTAGATTAGAGACTTGAAAAGGCTTGAAGAGGAACTCCACGGGAGTAATTGGAGGTCTGAAGTCTGAGGGGAGTGGAAGTTTTAAATGGTTGTTTTGGGAAAGCAAGCAGAATAGGGAAAAGATGTAATTTGCCAGGCTTAGTTGAGAGCCTGTGGAATCTGTCCTGTAGGGAAGATTCTAGCCATTTTTAGCATGGTGATTGCAGGCAAAATAATAATAATAATAATAATAATAATAAAAGGCAGGGAGGCAGGTACACACACACACCATACACATACACACACATACACCACACACACCACACACACCACACACACACACACACACACACACACACACACACACACACGTGCGCTCGCATGTGTCTTCCAGAGCCTTATGAGGGAAGGGAAGGCAGTCACTGGAGAAAGACTTGAGAGGGAAAAGGTAATCAACATTTCTTAGGAAAGGCTGAGATAAAGTTGGATAGCAGTGATACTGGATTTAGAAACAAAAATGTTATTTTGTCTTTCAAAATAATCATGGCTATAGTGATATCTGCAATTTAGCATCTAATTTTGTTAGACAAGCATGATAACCGTCACAGTATGGAAACTCATAGCATCTAATTTTGTAAAACTTTCTATTTCTTTAAAGTCTTTTAGGCCTGGAAACCGATCATCTACCAGGCCTTCTAAAGATTTTTTTTCTTTTTGGCTTTTCCAGACTGAGTTTCTCTGTGGCTTTGGAGGCTGTCCTGGAACTAGCTCTTGTAAACCAGGCTGGTCTCGAACTCAAAGAGATCCGCCTGCCTCTTCCTCCCGAGTGCAGGGATTAAAGGTGTGCGCCACTACCGACCCACCCTTCTACAGACTTTTTTTTCATTTGAGATTATTTAGTGTAGGAATTTCTCTAGCCTTTACAGAGAAGTTGAGTGTAGTAATTACAAATAAAACTAAAGGAGGGGCTGGGGAAGAGCTCAGTCAGTAAAGTGCTTGATGTAAAAGCATGAGGACCCAGGTGCAATCTCCAGAATTCATGCAATAAGCCACGGTGACACATGTTGCAATCCCAGCACTCTGGAGACAGAAACAAGTGAACCCTTGAGCTTGCTGGCCAGCCATCCCAGCTACACTGGTGAACTCCAGGTCCCAGTTAGAAAGCATCTCTCAAGACATAAAGTGCTGTTGGAGAGAATGCTCAATGACTTTAAACACTGGCTGCTTTTGCAGAGGACAGAGTTTAGATCTCTGGACCTACAAGGTGACTCACAACCATCCTTAACTCCAGTTTCCTGGTGCCCAACACCCTCTTCTGACCTCCTACAGTACCAGGCATAAACACGATGTACATGTGTGTGTATGTTCAAAACACGTAAACATATTAAATAAATAAAACTTTAAAAATTAAGAATCAAAAGAGAAAAAGTGAAGCAGATTGCTCCTGGAGAAGCATACCTCAGGTTAACCTCTGTCCTCCACACACCTCCCCTCAAACTTGCACATGAAACTGCACACACACACACTAATAATAATAAATGACTTTTGTTGGTTTTATCATTTTTAAAATCTGAACTTTCATCAAAACAATATGGATCAGGGGAGTGTCAGCCTACAATCCCAGTGCCTTCTACAGATTTTTAACAAAAGATTTTATTATGTATAGTGTTCTGTCTGCATGTTTGCCTGCATGCCAGAAGAGAGCACCAGATCTCATTATAGATGGTTATGAGCCACCATGTGGTTACTGGGAATGTGAACTCAGCACCTCTGGAAAAGCAGTCAATGCTCTTAACCTCTGAGCTATCTCTCCAGTCACTACAGATCTTTTATTGCTGCAAAGACACTAACTAGGAAAGGACAAGAATCATTTACTGCCTGTGTTAGGAGAGACTCCAGGAAGCAATGGCAAATAGTTTCTCTTTTTGGCTGCTGTAAGCCCTTTTGTAGGTCAACTCTGCAGTCAACCCTAGTCACCAAGAGTTCAGTTCTTTTAGTAATATAAAGGAATAATAATACATTTCAATCCATGCCAAGCATTTAAATTTTTTAAAAATGTTTTTATTAATTTTGTGATGTGTGAGAGCATAACACTCTCTCACACACAGAAGCAGAGGTCAGAGGATTTGCAGTGTTTAGTTCTCTCCACCATGTGGGACACAGAGATAGAATTCAGGTTGTCAGGCTTGATGGCAGCTTCCTTGGTCCCTGAGCTCTCCAGTTGGCCCTCCAATTGTTTTAACTTTGTTTTTCATTTCATGAAGGTTTAGCTAAATAGAAGGAAACTTGGACGGCCTGCCATGTCGATGTATGACCGTAATCCAAGAACTTGGGAGACCAAGGTATAAGAGTAAAGAATTTCAGGACAGCAGTGCTACACAGGGAGATCTTGTCTCAAACAAATTAATGGCTGTGTGTATGTAATGTTCTGGGTTTGACACCCATCTCCAGAAAAACAAACAATTGAACAAACAACAAATAAGAAAGAAAAGAGAGGCAAAAGATAATTGAAATTTTAGATTGGCCAAAAAATGTTTTGCTACAATATTATTTTTGAGAAATACTATTAAACACTTGGCTACTATTATGTATATTCTGGTAATAACTAAGTTATTAGACCTCTTGTAACATGGTTTTTCTAACATCAAAACAAGAACCTCCTTATAAAGTGTTGCTATGGCAATGATAGTGTAGCTTTCATGTATTTTAATTGACCTTGGTGATTAACAAACTCTATACTAGTTATGGTGAGGAAACTAGAACCGGGCCATGCCAAGCATCTAGTGGGTAAACAAAGCAAGGAAGAGATGTTGGGTTAAAATCCCTGAGTTGGGACTGGAGCCATGACTCTTGCAAAGGACACAGCTTGGTTCGCAGCCTTCATGTGGGGAGTAACAACTATCCCTTAACTTCAGTCCCAGGGGATGTGAAACCCCTCTTCTTACTAGGCATGAATGTGGTGAAAACATAAACACAAAGGCAAAACACTCATACACATAAACAAAATCTTTAAAAGAATGGCCAAGACAGAAAATTTAGTTGTTTTATTTCTAACAAGCCCAAGAAATGAAAAAAATACACATCTCTGTTGATTAAAAAGAAAGACACACATGTGGACATTATTTTTTTAATTCCCTTCCCCCCTTTTTTGTTAAAGAAACCAGTTTAAAAATTTTTGGTTTTGTGTTTTTATAATTTTAACATTACGCTAATTTTTGTGCTTGTGTCTTTGTACTTGTGCCACAGTACATGAAGTCAGAGGACAACTTTCAAGAGTTAGCTCTACCTTGTAGGTCTTTGGGATTGAATGCAAAACCAAAGTTTTATAAAGTATCATATCATATATACCTATCTAGGGACTAATAACATTCAATTTATTTTTTAAGGTTTTGTTGTAGTTTTTCTTGTTTTTTAACAAGTGATACTGGGAATTTCTTGCATGGACCAGAAGGGTTCTGCCCTGTTGAGGTTTATTTCTGTCTGAGGCAGTTTCATTTTAGATCCCAGGACTGGAACTAGAATTCTCTTATGTCCAAGCTGGCTTCAAACTTACAGACTATTCTACTGCCTAAGCCTCCCAAGTGCTGAGATTACAGGCACGAGGCAACTGAAGGGGCTCAGATAGAGACTACTTTGTATGTGGAGGCTAAGGAAAACGTTCTTTTACGGGAGGTACCCCTTCTAAATTCCTAAAAGATAAGCTCCTGCAACTCTGACCCCTTGCTCCCTCCCCAGAAGTGCAAAACTGCTATGAAATGATTAACTGCTTGCTCTGGTTTCTATAAACTCTGCTTATCGTTAAGCACAAGGAGAGTGAGGCAGTCCCCTCATATAGCTGTAAATTCCACAGAAATGAAGTAAGTGTAACCTGCCTTTAAAAGCCCTCTTCCCTTTCAGCTCACGGAAACCAAGGAAAGTGGCAACTGAAAGATTAAAAAAAAAATTGGCTGATTATAATTTAAGTCGAGTCCGGTCTCTCGGCGTTTTCGGGCTCTGTATCATGTATTTCCATCTTGGAAAGAGAATTAGCAGGTGTGAGTGGGTGGGGTTCTGAGCCGATACACCAATCTGGACCACAGGTGTCACACAGGCTTTTGTTCCCCGAGTGTCTGGGTCGCTTTGGCCTGCCCTTTCTCTTTCCGGACACTCCGTTTTTCTCTCGGGTGGGGTAAAATTACATTACTACTGGCTCCTTTGGTCTACGGAAAGGTCTGGTCTCCGGTTCTCTAAGGTCACCTGCTCGTCTTCCTTCGGCACATGACACCGCCGCACGAGCTACAGTCGCGTGAGCGCCAGCGGCACGACGGAGTCGCCAGCGACCCACGCCGCAGCGTGCTGCTCGGCTTCGGCGAGAAAACACGTCACAAGGCCAAGGCGCCCACCCGGACTCGGAGCATGCGCAGAATGACCGGCGGCCACCCAGGAACCGGGGGTCCCTTTTCCAGAGGTCACAGTCTGGAAAAGACTTCGGCTTTCTTGCCACTTCATGGAGATTCTGGTCGGGGAATCGCCCGGGCTTAGCATTTGAAGAGAAACCAAACAAACTGCCGCCTCGTCGCCACTACAGCACATTTCCGGTTTCCACCACACATTTCCGCTCGCCGGTTCCGGCCCCTCCCCTCACTTCCGGTCTCCTTAGGTTCCGCTGCGGCCGGCTTTTGCGTCCGCTGTGGCTGGTTCCGCCGCGCTCCAGGTGAGAGGACGCGGGGTTGGTCTACACGCCTGCCTGTGAAGGCGACGCTGCGGCTGGGGGATGCCACTGGACTGCATGCGCTTTCGCGGTTTGTTTCGCTGCGGGCCGGGCGGGCGGGTTGCGACCGCGGCTGTCCCGCCCGACACCCAGAGGCCCCTGTCCCGATGCGGTGCGGGTCCTGGCCGCCGCCTTCGCATCCGGCCTTCTCACCTGATCCCAAGGCTTCCCACATCCTAGAATGTTCTGCGTGCCGCAGGCCTCATTCCTCCCTCTGGCTGGGTCTGTCTCGCCCTTCCCTCAAGGTGGTTGTTGAAGGCGTCCTAGGCAGCTTGTTTCTGGGTCTCTGCCTCCCTTCAGATGCTCTCCCGGGCGGGCCCGTCCCAGCTGCCCTCTGCGCGGCTGCTGCTGGCCGGTACCCGGACACCACTACCACACACTCAGTTTTGCCAGGCTAAATGAAAAGCTCAAGCTGTTACTTTTGAAATTGCCGCCTTTAAGCTGCTTTTAGTTGTGCGGTGTTGCGCGAGTCGCTGGGATGGATTTTGCAGGTTTCTAGTCTGTATAAGTGAGTGCAGTTATTAATTCAGGATTGTGAAGATCATTTCAGATAGTTACGATGCTTAGCATGCTCTTCTCTCACATCTACGGTTCATCCATCTAGCTCCTTGCAGCTTACAAAGTGCTTTGAGGTGTCATCGTTTGTCAAAACACGTAAATTTGAATGGACTCATCCTAGGGTTTAGCAGGCTGAGGGCCAGAGATAAGAATTGACTAGGCATAGCCAACGCACTGGATGTTAAGTAGAACTCTGATTTAAATGTATATTCTTTACATATCCCATAAGAATGTACTTCTGAGTTTGATTGCCATCCCCCAGCGGAGATTTATGTAATGAACTATTAGAATTGTATAAGAAAAAAGCATAAAAATGCTCATGTGTTTTTATGCCTTGCATGATTCTCAGTAGTGATGAAATAAGACTGAGAATTTTTTCAAAAAGTTTTAGGAACTTAAGCCGTAAAAGTTTGTATAACCTTTGTGTTGTCTATGCCCGGAGTTTTAGGGCCTTCACCAACTTGTAGTTACCATTTGTGGCAGAAGTTCGTTATGAAGCAGTGCTGTTTTGTTAAGCACATACAATGCCGTTGGCAGTTTTTTCTTTTTCTTTTCTTTTTTTCCTTTCTTGTCCCCCTCACATACATATTGGCATCTTTCCTTTTTTATTTTTAAATTTAAATTAGAAACAAGGTTGCTTCACATGTCAATCCCAGGGTCCTCTCCCTTTCCCTCCCCCTCCTCCCACGCCCCCCCCCTATCCCCACTCCTTTCCCCAGCGAGGGTGAGGCCCTCCATGGGGGTGTCCAAAGTCTGTCATTTCATTCAGGGCAGGGCCTAGACCCTCCCCCAAGAGTCCAGGCTGAGAGTGCATCTCTCATTGTTGGATGGGCACCCAAAGTCCATTTGTATGCCAGGGATAAATACTGATCTACTACCCAAGGCTCAATAGATTACCTAGTCCTCCTCACTGACACCCACATTCAGGGAGTCTGGATCAGTCCCATGCTGGATTTCCAGCCATCAGTCTGGGATTCAAGAGCTCCCCCTTGTTCAGGTCAGCTGTTTCTGGAGTTAACAAGGCAGTTTTTTCTAAAGCTGGTAACATGGAAGAGCCTAGAGGAATGGCATGCTCAGACTTCAGCATGATTCAGAGATGGTAGAGTAAGACGGGGTAAAATTCACATTTGGTCCGTTTTCCTTTAACTTCTGAAGTCTTTTCCTGTTAGGTCAGTGCTCTTGGTTGAGACCCACTAGTCTGAGAACACTCTCATGGTCTCTAAGCTCTACTCTGCCCATCACAGCACAAATGAATGCTGGATGCCTTCCTAACTCTTAGGAACACTCATTCCCATCTCTGTGTCTTACAGAAAAAGAACATGTAAACTATTGCATTTTGGCCCTCATGCCTTTTTATTCAAGGTCATAGCACTTTGGGGGGGCAGATTCTGCCAAAAGTGGCATTTATTGCCTTAGTTAGCAGGCTTGCTGCAAATTTTCTGTAGAATAGTATTAACATGAGTAAATATAAATGTGACTATAAAGGGAAATGCATAAGGGATTTGTTAATCTTTTATAAGGAGCACGGTAACAGACTTTCCAAGTTAGGTTTTTGCCAATTGTCACATGAAATTTACTGTCTCTAGCAATTGGTTGTGGTGATTGCATGAGTAGTACAAACAGATGCTCCATCGTGTACGTGAAAGCTTTGCAACATGCCAATAGTCTGAGATCAGGAAACTCAGTTCTCTGACCTGTCAAGGAAATGAGTTTATAATGGTGAAAGCTTTATGGGACAAGCAACCTGCATTTAGTTGTTAAGGAGAACAGCAGCTGCCATGTAACATTTTGTGGATCTATATGAACAGGTTTGCTCGTTTTGTTTTGTTTTTTAACTGAAATTTGATCTTTAACTCTTGTAGATGCACTTTAAGTTAAAGTTTTGATATACAGTGTGTTGAGATTTATTCAGAAAACCCACACCATTTAGGTGCTCCTGAATAGAGTATAACTATTTCCATAATGGGAAAAGGGGAATATTCTTATCAGATACCTTTATCAGATGAGATGATCTTTGCACATCTGGTCAATTGGTAAAATATAAAACACTAAATGTGTATTATCTAGGACTGCCTGAAGCGTAATAAACTGTTGGGTTTAAATTTATATAATTAAGACTTAATATAGTGCTTCCCAAGTACTCCATGAGTTAGAAATGTTAGTTGATTTAATTGTCATAAGAACCCTAGGATGCAAATGTGAATAGTATTCCCCTGTTCTACAGATGAGGAAAGTTGTGTGTGCTAAGCAAGATAACTTCAGGAGTCAAATAATAAGTGGAAAATCTAGGGTCTGAGCCTAGGTAGTTTGCTCTGGGTTCAGTGCTCCTAATGAATGCCTCTTTAACATTTAGTGAAAATGATGTCTGTTGTGTGGGCTCGACTCTCCAGCATGCATAAGCCCAACCAAAGAAAGCAGGATGGGTCGGCAGCTCATTGTTCTCTAGTTGAACAAGAGGAGTCTGAGGGTATTAGGAGATACTAATAAGTCAGAACAAGTAAGAAAATTGTAGCTTGTAGGATTCTGAGAGTACTTTTCTGAGGAGACACACCCATCTCTACCATCAGGCTGAACAATAGAGTTTATTGTGTTTGATCTATCAATTTTAATGTCTTCCATTTGCATGTGCCTGTCTCTTAGGTGTTTTCTTCTGACAGAAAGCTACCATTTCATATGCTTGGAGAATGGCACTCCCCATCATTGTGAAATGGGGTGGACAGGAGTACTCGGTGACCACGCTTTCAGAAGATGATACTGTGCTGGATCTCAAGCAGTTCCTCAAGACCCTTACAGGAGTGCTCCCAGAGCGCCAGAAATTACTGGGGCTCAAAGTTAAAGGTAATCTCCCCACTTTGAGGTTTCTACACTGGTGGTTATGGGTTTTCTATTTGCTGTTATGTTTTTTTTATATATATAAGAAACTTTTTTGAGTTTCCTAAACTTGTTTCAGTGATAAATATAAGAATATGAACAGTTACACTACTGTCTGAATGACTTTGGGTCCCCTGGCAGTTAGTATTTGCTTGGTAAGGCTTTGGCACAGAAATCCTAGGTGAGAATCATTTATTTCTGGCATCTGTGATTTACCTTTCATTATTACTTGGGCCTTGTATTCTCCCCAAATTGTCTCTTGTTTCAGAAGTGGAGATTATACTTAGTTTATTGGCACTGTTCTCGTATTTTTTTATGTCACTGACAGGTGAATTTGGAGTAATAGAGAATCTAAAATTTAGTCTTGGGCTTCAAGGCTTCTAGAGCAGTACCATCTTTATCTTGAGCAATAAAATACACAAGTTGATTTTGCTCAGGTAGTCTACTGCCGGGCCAGATGGGACTCAGGGAGACAACCCCTGTATTACTTATGACTTATTATGCTAGATGCATATTCAGTAATAGCATTTTTTTTTCCTGTAAGAAAGGAACAAAAGAAACCCAAATCTACCAGACTTGTTCATGTTTGGCTTTTATGTAATGGGATAGTGGAACCAGCATTTGAACTTTAGTGAGAAAACAGTCATTTGCTTGTATTGTAGGCAAACCTGCAGAAAATGATGTTAAGCTTGGAGCTCTCAAACTGAAACCAAATACTAAAATCATGATGATGGGAACTCGTGAGGAGAGCTTGGTAAATGTTTACTTTTGTTACCATATGTCCCTTTGAAGGTGGTATGATATACACTGTACTGTTATAGCATAGTTTTAATTGTAGTAAAAGTTTCCATCTTATGACCAGTGAAAAATAACTGCACGATGAATATGGTATTAACTCAGTAGAGCTAACTAGTGGGAACTTTTTAGTATATAGTTAGTTGTAAGTATAATGTAGCCTATGTGGTGAAATTTAACATGTCAGATATGCCCAGGGGACATACAGAGCAAGTAATTAACAGCGGGAATTTTCCCACAGTGTGTGCTTAAGCTCAGATTGCCAACATGTGTTTGTTACGGTGAAACACAACTTTCCTGTCTTAATAGGAAGATGTCTTGTGTCCTCCCCCTGACAATGATGATGTCATCAACGACTTTGACATTGAAGATGAAATAGTTGAAGTAGAAAATAGGTAAGTGCTCTTGGCCTTCAAAAACATTGTCATGTGAGAAGAGAGGGGGTTTTCATGTGTTCTTACCTTTTCTGTTAGGGAAGAAAACTTACTGAAGATCTCTCGCAGAGTCAAGGAATACAAAGTGGAAGTGTTGAACCCTCCCAGGGAAGGGAAAAAGCTTCTGGTGCTGGATGTCGATTATACATTATTTGGTGAGTCAGTTAAGGTAGTCAGCTGTTCTTTTATATGCTAACAGTTTTTACCCAGCCCCTCCATGTTCACATGAAGTATTTGAAAGCTTCCCTTATTGTTACAAAAATAAATCATTCATCTAGGAAATGCAGGTAAGCAAATGAAGGCATTACCTATCCTTTTAAGAACCAAAGATGGTCACTTTTAATGTTTTGATTTTTTTGTTGTTGTTGTTTTACATTGTTTGTGTGTATCTCCTTTTTTTTGTTACTTTTGCTTTGAATTAAATATATATTGTGCAAGCCAGGATTATCTGGGAGTAGGAATCTTAATTAAAACAAAATGCCTCCACATAATTGGCCTGTAGGTAACCCTGTGGTGCATTTTCTCGATGGATGGTCGATGTGGAAGGGCCCAGTTTACTGTGGGTGTTGCCTTCCCAGGACTGGTGGTCCTGGGTGCAGACTGAATAAGCCATGGGAGCAACATAGTAAATGACATTCTTCCATGGCTCTCCTTCAGTTCCTACCTTGAGTTCCTGCTCTGACTTCTCTCCTGAGAGCTGTAAGAACTTTTTGGTCATAGTGGTTTATCACAACAATCAAAACCCTGACTAAGCCACATACCTAAAAATATATTTGTATACACACCTAGGTTATTTGTGGGGAAATAGAATGATGATGTGTCATAATTTAACCAACTTAACCTTGATTGAAACTTTTTATGAGAGCTATTTTAACAATAGTGTTTTTTATATTTTAGCCTTGTTTTCTGTCTAAATATATTCAGGCACCTTTCTTAAATTTAAAATTAATCATGTCAATTGAAAAAGAAAGACGTTTGTTTCATCTTCTAGTATTGGCAATAAATACTTTCTGATAGTAAAATTTTCTTGCTTGTAACCCTAAATGTTAAATGTGTTATAACTTATTGTGCACTTTTCTTAAGAATTAGTCAGCTGATTGTACTTGAATAGTGAAGTTGATTTTCTTAGGATGATGGGTATATGTAAGTATGGGTGCCTCCCTTACTGTTCATATTGTGAATCATATTCAAACTAGATGAGAAAAAATGCACAGTGGTCCATGTAAGTCTTCATTTTCAGTGTTGCTCTTTGTGTGATTCACAGAATTGATCCACTGAAACTGCAGTTCAAGGGCGTTAAGTTCTGTGCGTTGTAAAACATCTGCTCATCCTCAGTGTCCTTAGTGTCAGGCTATTTGCAGTTGTATATCTTGTATCCCATGATAGATTACTTTTTTTATAATAGCTTCATTCTACCCAGCACTTGTCCCTGATAATAAACTAATAATTGTTTTTATGATCCGTTTTCTTTTAGATCATAGGTCTTGTGCAGAGACGGGGGTAGAGTTAATGAGACCATATCTTCATGAATTTCTAACATCTGCATATGAAGATTATGACATTGTTATTTGGTGTAAGCTTAATTTTTTTATTAGATTTCATGGAAATAAGGTTGATACTTATACTATTCTGTGGTATGGAGCATAATTTAAAAAGACCTGTTTAAATTTAATATTTTTTAATTGTATTTCTAAAATGTTGTTTGACTTTCTTATGTCATTATAAGAAGTACATGCATATTTTCTTTATAGTAAGAAGATAGTTGAATGTAGGATAAGAATAGGCCATGGTGTTAGAATAAAAGTGTTTATTTATTTGCTTTTGCAGAGCTGGGAATTGGCCTAGGAACTTTTTGCAGACTAGAGACACACTCTGCCACTGAGCTATTTCCCCAGCCCTTAATCCTTAATACCTCCCCCTTTTTTCCTTACTCTAGTTTCAAAATATTTGGAGACAGACATTTCTTTTAAAAAAAATCTTAGCAATATAACTGGACAGAAATAATAGTGTGAATTGCTTAAGGCAAACTTAATACATGGCAGAAGCAGTGCTCTTGATGTTGAGGTCTTTGGACATTCAAGGACATGTAGACCCATGTTGGTCATGGGTTTGCTGCAGAATAGAAATTTGCTGTGTGACTAAGGTCACACTTTGAGTTCAGTTGACATTTATCTTCCCACTTCTTGATAATGAATGATTGTCTTATTCTGTGTGTCTCCTTGTTTTTCATCTGGAAATTACATGTTCAGAACAGCTACTAAGTTAATATCTTTCTTACGATTGTTTTCATTGCAAATACGACACTCTTAAACTTCTGGTTTTATGGACCAATTCTGCATTAAAGTGTAAGTCGAGACAAGGAGAACCTGTGAAGATGAGGATTGACTTTTGTGTCAGTGGTGTGTCATCTAATGTCTGTTGTTACAGACATGTAATGTAGCATAGGGGGCTTCATACTTTTGTCTCAGGTTTGTTCTTAAGATGCTTGGCTCAAAGAGCTTCATTTGCTAAGACTAACAAAGCCTGGCTAATCTTCCACACAGACTTTTGACACCATATGTGCTTATGCATTGCCTGGATCCCTGGCCAGAGAAAGTTGAGATCCACACATCTCAAACTTAACTTTGGAATGAATAAAGAATAGTGGAAGGACTGATTTAAAAGTAGTTTGGGTTTTAGTTTATCATGGTTACCTCTGTCATACAAATACAAATGGTTTAGGTATTATTCTTTTTAGAAGACACACTAAAGTAAGTTTATTAGGGACCATTATTTATGATGTTTTTAAAGTTGTGGTCTTGCTTAAAAAGCTTATTTATTCAGAAGAAGTTTTTTTTTTTAATGAAACTCAAACTTTTCATGTATATTGTATTATTCCTCATGTTTTAGCTGCAACAAATATGAAGTGGATTGAAGCTAAAATGAAAGTAAGTGTTAGAAATAAGCATCTCACAATGTTTTGAAATCACAGTTGACAGATCAAAGATTCTAGAACAGAGTCAATTTCATTTTTACTGGCTGTCTTTTAATAGCTATGGAATGCCAGTATTGGGAGTAGAGGTGCATGTGAGCCTGCTTAATGATGGGTTGATCTGAATGACTAAGCTGGTTCCAAGGAAAAGCTAAGCCCCTTTTTACCTTCCAGTAATGTTTGCTTTGCCCTTTGCTCTAATGTGTTATGCTGATGAGATGATTCATTCTAAAATGGCCAGTTAGGAATGAATCCACTTAGGATTTACTCACTGACACAGGTCAGCAAAACAAGTTGTGTAGCAAAATGTGGCTGCCATTGCTATAGAAAATTGGCATTTTGAGAAATTGCAGGTAGAATGTTCAGAAAGCCTGGGATTTTTTCCCACTTGTATTTTAACTTCATGAACATTTGTATTACAGGAACTGGGGGTCAGCACGAATGCCAATTATAAGATTACCTTCATGCTGGACAGTGCTGCTATGATAACCGTGCACACTCCAAGGAGAGGGCTCATCGATGTAAGAACTCCAATTTCTTTTGTTAAAGATGAGTGTAGATTTTATATTTAAATAACAGAAAAGAAAGAAAGAATTTAGAATTTCATCTGAACAGATAGTAAAACAGTTGAATTTTGACAAAGACATTGTATTTTAAAGATTTGTAACACTAGGGAGGCAGGCAGATCTTTCTGAGTTCAAGGCCAATCATTGTCTACAAAGTCCAGGTCAGTGAGGAGTGAGGGCTATGTAATTGAGCCATGTATCAAAAAAATAAATGAGTTAATTTAAAAATTTTTAAATGAATTATAACGATGCAAGCAAGGCTGTTGGAAGGCTATCTAGCAAGGAACTGTGTTAGGGCTAGCTGTGATGATGGTGGTGAAGCACTGCCGGACTAAGTAGAAGAGAAAAACTGAAAACTATCAAGAAGTATGCTTACCCTTCTCTAGAAGAAACTGATGTATTATATAATACACGGGCCAGGTTATATCCTAGAAAATAGCAACAGGACATCAGAGAAGAGAACTGGACTTTAAAACTGAGGAATTTTGACATGGTTTACTCAAGTGACTGCTTCTACAAGGCTCTACAACAGGCACAGTTAGTAATAAAGATGCAGGAAATGTTGTCTGTGCCTTTTGAAAACATGTACTAAGAATGAAGAGAGCCAGTGTTTCAAACAGTGGTCTAAGCCCATGAGGACTTGCTCAGTGCAAGAACTACTGCACACACCAGGAGGGAGGCATGATTACCACCTACAGCTTGCTTTCCAGGGTCTAAAGTATTGTGGAGTTCAGGAAATGCTAGGCAGGGCTGCAACAGTGAGACAGCAAAGGACAGCTAACTGCTGGTGATTAGGGATGGAGAGCTGGGATTGGCGCCTGTGACGTAATCTACTTCCTCTTTTGATGTAGCAGAATAGTTAAGGTGTAGAAGTAAAGGCAGCCCCAATGACTATTACAGGCCGGTGGGAATGGGTCTTAGCTTTTATGTACTCTAGGATTCCCCTTAGCTTAGCAGTGAACTTTCTGAGGCTGTTTTTTATTTTAAAAGCAAAAACAAAAGCCAAGCCTGGAAGTGAATGAATCAGACTGTCTAGCTGTTACCTGTCATATTGACACATGATTTGACATGTTCCCTTGTGAATTTCTATGTTTCAGATTATTCTGTGGTCAGCAATATCAGTATACTAATTTTAGAGAAGTAGCCTGTGTTTGGGGGAACAAGGTGTGCTAGACTTAAGATTATAGGATGTAGATGTCCTGGTATCTGAACAACCTCCTCATCAAACCTCCTGGGAGAAGTTCCCTGCAAACCCCAAGAGTCTGGCTTACTGCGTCAGTTCCTATATTAGTGACTAAAGAACTGGGCAGTTTTGTTTCAGAAATAAACAAGTAGTAGAGATAATTTAGGAGGAAAAAATAGTTAAAATAGTATTCCTGGGAAGAAAACGTCTTCATGTTAAGCTGTGGAGGACCCAAGCACCCTTAAGCATTTCTCTCCTTGCTGCCTATTCCTCTCACATCTCTGAGTGGAAACCCTGGTGCAAGCCTTTAATCCCAGCACTCGGGAGGCAGAGGCAGGTGTACCTCTGTGAGTTCAAGGCCAGCCTGGTTACAGAGCAAGTGCCAGGACAGGCTCCAAAGCTACGCAGAGAAACCCTGTCTTGAAAAACCAAAAAAAAAAAAAAAAAAAAAAAAAAAAGACACATTCGAGGCATTTTCTGAATGTTCTGATTTGTTCATATTTATTCTCCGAAATAAAAGGTTGGTAGTTGGTGAACATTTCCTCCTATGACAATGGTTCTCAACCGGTGAGTCTTAACCCTTTGGGGGGTTAAATGACCCTTTCACAGGGATTGCCTAAGATCATCAGAGAATACCGACATTTATATTATGATTCATAACAGTAGCAAAGTTAATAGTTGTGATGTAGCAATGAAAATAATTTTGCAGCTGGGTGTCACAACAGCATGAGAAACTATATTAAAGGGCCGCAGCATTAGGAAGGATGAGAATCACTTTAGGAAGACATTCCTCCACCTCATGCAGAACTGGTGACACGTGACTCTTCAGTGGAGAAACGTTGTCAGTTTGGAGTTTGTGAGGCTTTTATAGACTATGTGAGTGTCCGCAGATAGGTCTGTGGAGGGTTCTGTCCCTTGTAGTCCTGGATTAGGAATTCCAGAACAAAACCAGGAATTAATCCTGGTGCCTTTGAACTTTGTGCATCAAATGCCCTAGAAATCAGGCACCAGCACAGTGATTTAAAGACAAAATCAGCAGGGCACAGTGACGTCTACCTCTGTTCCAGTATTCAGGAGGCTGAGGCTGGAGGAATATGAGTTCAAGGCCAGCCTGGGCTGCAGAGTGGGGCTCTGAAATAACAAAAACAAAGGAACACCACCAAAACACACATGGATATATTCAACAAGGTAACTAAATTTTTAATTGAAAGAGCCCAGTGTAATTTTCCTCACTAAGATGTTCTCAGTTTGAAAGGTCTTGAGAGAGGTGGGTTATCCATTAGCCCAGGAAATACTTACGGTTTTTTGCCCTAGAATCTTCCTGTGAAAATGGTGTAAAGTGTTGCGGTAGGGTTAGGTGAGTTAGATGTGCACAGTCATGTGCCTGGTGGTCAGCCAGTGCATCCCTGCAGGCAGGAAGGAGCTTGCTTTGCTTTTAGAATGGGGTTAACTGTTAATACGTATTGAGTTAAATATAAACCTCTATTTTAAGGTGAAGCCTCTTGGTGTCATTTGGGGGAAGTTTTCTGAGTTCTACAGCAAAAAAAACACCATTATGTTTGATGACATAGGAAGAAATTTTTTAATGAATCCACAGAATGGACTGAAGGTAAGACAGACAGTTTTACTTACTTAGGCTTATGTAACCTAATGTGGAGTGTCATGAAATTTTAGGTGATCTTTCGGTTAAAGATGAATAAACAGTGAGTGTTAGTATGGGCCCTGTTAACAGTGCAGAAAATGTTGCCTAGTATGTTTACTGTGCCCTGTCTTTGTATAGATACTTAATCATGTGTTATAATTGCCTATGGTATTTAGTACAGTAACATGCTGTAGTTTTGTGGCGGGGAGCAGTAGACTTTACCTTTGGACTTAGGTGTACAGTAAGATAAGAAGTATATTCTGTGATGTCCAAACAATGGTGAAATCCATTTCATGTATATCAGGAAAGGAAATGTTAAGTGATGCATGGTGTTATACTGTATCACATGTACACACGCACATACACAATTTATCAACTGTTGTTATTGTATGTCTGTAACTGTTTACCAGATGTGTATTTTTTTGTCACTTGTGTATCTGATACCCACAGATTCCAGAAGAGAGTGTCAGATCACTGAACTGGAGTTACAGATGGTTGTGAGCAACCTTTTGGGTGCTGGAAGCCAAACATGTGTTTTCTGCAAGAACAGCTAGTGGTCTTTACTGAACCATCTGACCAGCCCCCTGAGCTTATATTTTTATGGTCACAAGCAAGAGGAGTTTAAGTATTTGGGGAAGTTCAAATGAAAACGAATGTTGCTTTTTGCATTGTCACCTTAGTTAGCCAGCCCACTTGATTATTTAGTTTTAGCTGGCTCTGGGAGCAACGTGGACTTGCTGACACTGAATTGTAACAGAAATCTGATGTTTTGTTAGAAGTGTATACCTTAGAGTTGCTGACATTCTGGCGAGCTGGCTCTAGTAATACTTTTTCTTTATTTCTTTTTTGTTTTTCCTTTTAAACTGAAGCTAATAAGGGCTTTGCAGCTAATAAGTCAAGTGCAGATCTTAGAATTATCAGGCACATGTGATAGAAGGAGCCATATATGTCTTATACCTTTTCTTAATCCTAAGATGAAAAGTCAGGACTTGCTTATAATCATGTATGTAATGGGTGTTTGACAGAATTTGGACAGAGTCCGTGTGACTTGGTTGTTGAGTCAGTGATAACCTTAGCATGAGTCACATGAAATCTGTGTAGCAGCCTCAGAGGCATTTCAGTCTGGCAGCAGAGAATGGTGAAGCTTGAATGCTTTTGGTCCCCGTGGCTGCTAGCACCTCTATGCAGTATGAACACAGAGGTGCTCTGTGACAAAAGTGAAGATTCTCCAGGAGAAGTGGAAACCCTGTCGCTAAGAGGGTTTTCTCTGTCGTAAAATTCTCAGCCAGCTAGGGTCTTGATAAAGACTAGGAATGGGAGCTTGTAGAAAGTAGGTCCTTGAAGCTTTATAAAGTTTGAGTTGAGTTGGCTTTAGTGCATCATGAGTGTAGTGCAAATGTCAGAATGGTGATTCAGGGTGAGATTTTAGTACAGACTTAGCCTGTTGCCTTGGAAGAGAAGCAAGCGTGTTCACTCTGTACCCCATCTTCTGTCTTTTAATATTCTGAAACAAACCCTAAATATGTATTTCATTTACAATTTTAATTATTTTTAAAATGTTAAAGGCTATCTTGAGTTGTAGAAACATACCTGAGCTGATCTCCTTAAGAAAAGTCAAAGCTATTAGGGAAGTAATACAGAGGTATAATACAAATAATTGGTTGAAAAAACTGTAAAAATAACTCATAATTCATTTTCTCGGTGCCTAAGTCAAGATTCAGTCTCACTTTTGTTGTCCTGACTTTTATAGTTTGAAGTAATGCTTTTTAAGTGAAGTATTAATATTATAGAATATGTCAGCCTTACCATTTGGGAAAACTTGACTGAACTTTTATGGAAACTGATCTTTATACATAAATGACAAAGTGAAATGTTTATGGCAAAGTGTGGCAGGGAACTGACATTAATGTGTGATAATCTCAGCTTTCTGGAGTACATAATGGGACTTGGACCATGTCAGTTCCATCCCCAGGACCCACATGTGGAGGGAGAGAACTGGACTTGGACCATGTCAGTTCCATCCCCAGGACCCACATGTGGAGGGAGAGAACTGGACTTGGACCATGTCAGTTCCATCCCCAGGACCCACATGTGGAGGGAGAGAACTGGACTTGGACCATGTCAGTTCCATCCCCAGGACCCACATGTGGAGGGAGAGAACTGGACTTGGACCATGTCAGTTCCATCCCCAGGACCCACATGTGGAGGGAGAGAACTGGCTCCTGAAAGGGTTTCCTGGCTTCTGCATGTGCACATGGCACACACAGGCAAACAGCAAACAAAGTGACAGGTGTAGACTGTCATAGAGGAGTGCTGCAGTAGAGATAACCCACTGTGCTTAGGTCAAGCTCATATCTGGGCTGACTCCATACAGAGTAGATAGTGGAAATGAAATCAGTTAATGGAAACCATTCAGATGCCAGAAGGAAACAAAGTGCGAGCAACACTGCAAGACAGGAGTGGCCATGCAGATTCCAGTGCTGGAGGAGGCCGTGGTGTCTGGTGTAGGCTAAGGGTAGAATACGTTTATGAAAGTCATTTGCATTGGTATTTTAGCCTCAGTGCCTGACTGAAATGATAAGAGTAGCCTGAGGTTTTGTTAGCTTTCCTGTCATAAGGTGAGGTTTGTTTGTTTTTTGACAGATAAGGCCTTTCATGAAAGCACATCTGAATCGAGATAAAGACAAAGAGCTTGTGAAACTCACTCAGTATCTCAAGGAGATAGCCAAGCTTGATGACTTCCTGGAGCTGAATCATAAGTACTGGGAAAGGTAGGTGCTAACTATCATTTGTCTCTTTACACCAGTAGTGAAAACATGTTGGCAATGCCACCCTGTGCCCTTAATTTTTTTGGTTGTTGTTGCTTGTTTTGCTTTTGTTTTCAAGACAGGGTTTCTCTGTGTATCTCTGGCTGTCCTGGAACTTGCTTTGTAGACCAGGCTGGTCTCGAACTCACAGAGATCCTGCCTCTGCCTCCTGAGTGCTGGGATTAAAGTCATGTACCACCACCACTGTGCCCTTAGTTTTTTATATAAAGTGAGAAACTTCTAAAATTATGGTTTTTTCCACTGGCATCTCCTCGAAAGTGCTTCTTCTAACCCCTAACTTACTCATAACCCACATTCCTTGGCCTTTAATATTGCAGTACTGAGAACTTGAGAGGCTGGTGAGTAGCTTTGTAACAGTAAGCAGGCCACCCTCTGAATTCCCTCCTCCTCCCACCATGGTCCTTGAAGGCAAAATCTCTATGTAGACTGTGATGCTTCAAATTCTTGGCCCTCCTGCCTCAGCTCCCCCCCCGCCCCAGTAGCTGGGCTTACAAACACATGCTAGCACATGGGACTGACTAGGAGTTGACCACTATTACTATGCTGTAAGGTGTGTCAGCATGACATTGTTTAACATTGCAAGGAACTTCATTGTATAGTAGCAGAAACAGAAAATAAAATAGTTTCATATGACTTTTCTTTCTAAAGACTACTGCATTCGTGTAGTCTTTTATTCTCCTTTTCTAAGTACAGCCATGGAAAAGTCCAATACAACTGTATTCAAAATCAAGATGACACATCCAGGCAAACCTGGAGAGATGGTAGGGGTATGTGTCCTACAAGTGAGGCTGCCTTGAAATCAGACCTTTAAAGAAGATCTGGTTCTGGTGTAAACATCAGAAGAAACCCCTGTTGGGTGCTTTTCTTATTCAAATTCCACTTTTGGCTTTTTACATTACTTTGGCATATAGCTAATGATGGCAGTTTCTAAGTGTGAGAAAGGGTTGGAAATCTTAATTTAGCAGCAGATCCTATTAAGTGATAACAAGGAAATAGTTGATCACTTGGTAGCACAACTTTATAGTCTTTTCTTTTTGTAGTGCTGGGCATTGAATCTAGGGCCATATGCTATGCAGCCACTGTACCTGTGAGCTTCATCTCCAGCTTTCTCCTTTACACTCTTGAATACAGTCCTATTTTAAAAACACACTGTGTGTGTATGTGTGTCCTGCTCCCTGTAGTATCTTTATTCCACTGTCTTTATACGGGAAATAATAAGATCTCTAGATGAGGTCTAATTAGAAATCACAATACTATTTAACATTGGAAAAGGCAGTTGATGTGGTAACTAATGTTTGCAACTTCTCAAGGCTAATTGTGAATTTGAACAGCCTGACTTGGCAAATTATTTAACCTTTGTACCTGAGAAATAGAAGGAAGTTGTAGCAGAAATTCAACACATGTGATTATAACAGCAGTTGGCACAGAGCACTCAACAGTTTTTAGTAGCTGCTAACTGTACTGATCTTCAAAGGCCCATTATTGAAATAAGTCCTTTGGCAGGAGAGGAAGATTGTTTCCATGACTTTGCCTAATCCAGCTTTGACGTATTTATCTCATTTCTTGCAGGTATCTATCAAAGAAGCAAGGACAGTAGTTACCAGTTACACTCACAGTTGAAGATCCTTGAGATCCATGGACCTTTGTTTCTTTGCTAGGCATAACCATGATTGTGCTGGACACTGGAGAATATGCCAGGCTGCCTAGCTGTGGTCTTCCAATGCTTTGTAAATTTAATTTTGTATTTTTTTGAAGATAATAACAAAGTGCTAAAAAAAAGTTCTTTTCCCTCTATGTTAATTTACTCTTGAAGAAAATGTTCTCTGGCATTGATTATTGAGGTGTTTTTCCTAGCCCTCTAAAAAATGGAAAACAAAAGAAAATTGAAGGTAGAAAAAATATATTCACCAGTGTCATCCTGTGACTTTGAAACAAGTTTTGTCGTATACTTTTGTCTCCTTGTATAATCAGCTGCCTGAGTCTGAGACCAAACCTATCTTGCAACTAGCTAGTGCTTTCCCTCTTTAAACCAAAAGCAAAACCAAAAAGCCCAAACAAGCTTTTAAATAATAACAAGTTTGTTGTGCTGAAAACTCCCTAGAGTTGTTGTTCTTGTCACAGAGTTCCTCTTCTACAATCTGTCAGGAAGATCTCGAAGCCGGAGTTGTGAGTGTTCTTTAAGAATGAAGGACATCTGCATGAAAAGGCTATGCCCTAGATGGCATGGTAGCAAGCAGACTGAAATAACACTACAGGACAAGAGTAGACTTCTTTTTGGTGGCTAAGTAGAAGCACTTCTGCCTAAGAACTTAGTCATGAGCAGTTTACCGCAGTAGTGAAAAGGCACATTCACCAACTCCAACTCTACTCCGAAGCATGGATAGCATTTCTGCCTACTCCAGCTGTGTGTCATTGCTAACTACTAACACCGTTGCAGCAAACATATCTAGCCATAAGATTAAAAATACCTGTTACTTGCAATGCTTAAGCCTGCAGATATGTAATGTGACCACTGTTTTGTGTTGACAGTATTGCTTTATACAGTTCTTGTATTTGAAGGGATTGCTCCTTTTAAATGAACATGGTGTACATTGTTCTTATGGGACTATTTCAGTGGTGTAAATAATAAATATCTTTTCTTAAAATACTGGTTATCTGTTTAGTAATGTCTCGGATATTTTTCCCCTATTTGTCAAATCACTGACCATATTCAGGCAAGGACCTCCGAAAACTAAATGTGATCCTGGCATGCGGAGGCAGGAAGAATCATTTGGAAGCCAGCTGCAAAATAAGTGTGTGTATATCACCAGCCATTCAAAATGGTTTTAGCAGCTAAGTAGATGAGAATGCTTAATGAAAATAATTTATTAAAATATTTCTCAAATGTCTGGTAATTCTTAAAAAATTAAGAGCCAATAGAAATTGTTTTTTAAAGTTTTTATTCTTGCTTGCGTTTGCCTATGACTTCAGTTGCTTTCTACCTTATTTGCTAAAACGATCTTACTAATTAGACAGATCTACCTTGTGTCTTTCTTGTGTTGCTTAACTTTTTCCTGATGGGGATGTGTGTGTGTGTTATGCATGGGTGCATGAAGGTTAGAGGTTGACATTGGTCATTCCTCTTGATAGTTCTCTGCTTTATTTACTGGAGACAGGGACTCTTGCTGACACAACAAAGCTAAACTAGCCAGTCTGCCAGGAGGATTCCCTATCTATCTCCTGAGTGCTAGGATTACAGGCTTTGCCGTGTCTTGTTTGTAGGTACCAGAGTTCTGAACTTTGATCCTCATATTCAGATGGCAAGCACTTAACCCATTGAGCCATCTCTCCAGTGTCCTGCCTAGATCTTCATGAGTGCTGGGCTTATGAACACAGGTCCTCATGTTTCTGTACAGGCCCTTTTGCACCGTGAATCATCTCACCAGTCCTAGACTAGAACATTTTTTCATTGGTTTGTTTCATTTTCCTTATGCAATGAGTTTATTATTCCAAATAGGAATGGCTTCATCTTTTTATGTGAGCTGAACATGAAAGATAAGTTATTAACAGACCAGGGGGAAAAAAAATAGCATTCTTACCATAAACTACACATTTAGCCAGGTGGGCTTTTAACATACATTTCCTGCCAGTAGGTGGCACCCAAATCAAAGTTTCCTAGCTGGTATGTTACCCTTAAGGGTGTTTGGGATCATGTGCAAGGTATGTGAACCTTTATACCTTTTAACTCTTGAGGTTTATGGCAAAAACATCTCTGTTCAACGGTGTATCTGGTAAAACTCACTCATCAGGCATAATTCCAAGCTTAAAATAATTGATATCTAGTGATGCATATTTAACCTAACAACTACATAGCATCTTGAAATCTCACATTGAAAGAGTGGTTTGAGACCCCGGAGTCCTTTGGGTTTTCATTCATTCATAGCACTGGGATGTTGAATTACCTGTGTCTATAGTAGCATTCAGTTCAATAGGTGAAGAATCAGCAGGTGAGTAGCAAGCAACTGAAGCATGTTCAATTATGGAAAATAAATCGGTCTTCTATGGGGGGTAGATCTGTGCAGAGGTAAGAGACTAAAAAAGGCTATGCAAAACTAGTGTTTAGACAGTGTCATTTAGTGGTCAATACTAATATTATTGTGGTTCTCAAACTTCCCCCAAAACTCATGTGTTGAAGACTAGTACTCAGAGATAGGGCTTTGGGAAGGCAATTGGACCACAAGGGCACTAATCTCATAACCAGATCACCTATAGGTTGCTAGACACGGGAAGCTGGGTTTTGCTGTAGAATTGAGCGCTCTCTGCCTCCTGCCTAACCAGGTAAACAGCTTGCTTCACCACATCTCTGTCAGATGCCTAAAAGCAATACAACCAACTAGCCATTAACTGAAACCTCCAGTTAAACTAAACTTTTCCTTGTAAGTTGTTTTATCTTGGGTATTTTGTCACAGTGATAGAACACTAACTTATACAACCATGAACAATGAATAAGTATATTGGGGATTTTCTCCTACCAACTCAGTCATCAACAGGACACCGATGGTGCAGATCATTATCTACTGAAATATTTGTACATCAAAACTTAAGAGGTGCCTATGAAGATTAAATGCATAGCTATTTATGTAAAAATCTAATTTTTAGAATAGCTTTGGGGAAATGTTTGTAGGTCTTAGTATGTGTGCTGAGTGTGTTGAACTTAAAAGAGAACTCCTTAGAGAATTTTAAATCCATCTAAGATTTATGAAAGATCAGTAAATTAGAGGAGAAAGGACAGACCTGTAAAGTAGATGTGTATCACTTGAAATGCCAGTGAGAACCTATGTAGAACGTGGCAATAGAAAGACTCCAACAAAACAAGAACAAAGCTTAAAAGCCTTTCAATCCTGTTAGTGGTTCCTCTTCCTCCTCCCTTCTCACTCCCTCTTTCCTCTCCTCTTCCCCCTCCTTTTTGACATGAGAGTGTGGTGTTAGTATGCCTGTTCTGGGGTCTCCTTTCTGTTTCTTAAGCATTGGGATTCTAAGTGGGCCACCATGTCTGCCTGGCATTCCCTGGATGTTGGGGATGCAAATTCTGATCCTCACCTACTGGGACCAGTGCTTTACCCACTGAGCCTTGTCATTGTTGACTCTGGAAATAAGCAAGAACTTCTTAAATGCTAAACTTAAAAGGTTTCCTGATATAAATCGTCAATGTATTTAAAACAGTGATTTGTGGGCTGATGAGATGACTAAGCAAGTTAAGGCTCTTGCCACCAAGTCTAACAACCGAGTGTGGTCCCTGGTGGATAACTAGAGGTTATCCTTTGACTTCTACATGCATGCCATGGCATGTGTACTCTCTATAAATAAGTAAAAATGTAATAAAGATACTTCTTACATCTTAAAGGAATTAAAAATTGGTTTTTCTATTTTGAGAGTTCCTATTTCCCTCTACCAAAGGAGCCATTCCTCATCACTGTCAGAAAGGACAATAGCTGTTTGTCTGTGGTGCCCGTTAGCATACCAAAATGCATGCTGACCTCCAGCCTTACTCAGTATCTGACTACTAGCTCTTTTCACCCCACCCCTTACTGTAAACTCCAGCTCATGGGCTTCCCTTGCCACAGCTTCCCATATAACCCTGGCATTTCTGCTTTACACTGTTTGGTCTTCCTTTTCTCCCTCTTTCTCCTCTCATGGCCAGTACAGTGTGCTGGCCATGTTCAGTTTATTACTTTCTCTCCTGGATCTGGACTCTTCCAGACACCTCTGACTGCACTCTTTCTTTCCTCGTATCTACCATAAGAACCTACCACTCAATCACACCTTGAAACAAGTCACATCCTTGTTTTTATATAGGATCATAGACATGTACCACTATGCTGGCTGGAACCTATTTTTTTAAACATGTTTAATGAACAGTAAGACTACAAACTTTACAAATGCCCAAACCAAAAGTTACTAAGCATCAGGGATTCCTGTGTCTACATGCATGTCTACAACAAGCATCTGTCAAACCAATGTGGGTAACTTGGATACTAAAGATTAAACTGATGACTTTTCAGAAGTATGTAGATCATAAGAATGAGGTATTCTCCATTGTTTTGCATATGTACTTGCAGTGTGCATTCTTGTTTGCATGCTCTTGCACGTGTCTGTGTGTGTGTGTGTGAGAGAGACAGAGACAGAGAGAGAGGCAGAGAGAGACAGAGACAGACAGAGAGAGAGAGACAGAGACAGACAGAGAGAGAGAGAGAGAGAGAGAGAGAGAGAGAGATGTGCACCCGAGTACAGGTGCCTGAGGAAGTCACAAGAGGGCAGCAGATACCTTGGAATTGGATTTATGGGTGGTTGTGATTTGCCTGACATGGGTGCTGGGAATCAAGTTTGAGTCCTCTGCAAGGGCAGAATGGACTCTTAACCTCTGAACCATCTCTCCATCACCATAGCGTTATTTGTCAACTTGATACACTCTAGAGTCACCTGGGAAGTCTCATTGAGGGATTGTCCTGATCAGGCTGGCCTGTGGGCTTGCCTGAGGGGATTGTCTTGCTTACTGTTGATTGGTGTGGGAAGACCCACTATGGGTGGCACCATTCCGTGGAGTTCCATCCTGGACTAATTAAGTGTGAGTGGGGAGGGGGATGGGGAGATGGGGAGATGAGCATGAGCAGGCTTAGGTGTATTCATTGTCTCTCTGCTCTTGGCTATGGATGAGACCAATTTCCCCACAATGATCAGCTGTACCATGGAATTGTGACCAAATAAACCCTCTCTTCCTTAAAATTGCTCTTGTTAGGATGTTTAACCATAGCAACAGAGTTGAAACTAGGTTCCCTGAGACAGCCTACTTGTTAAGAAATTTACTTAGCTTACTTTTTTTTTTTTTTTTTGGTTTTTCCAGACAGGGTTTCTCTGTATTGTTTTGGAGGCTGTCCTGGAACTCACTCTGTAGACCAGGCTGGCCTCGAACTCACAGAGATCCGCCTGCCTCTGCCTCCTGAGTGCTGGGATTGAAGGCGTGCGCCACCAACGTCCGGCTTAGCTTACATTTTTGAAAGCCCGAAAAGCCAAACAGCGCGGTGTAGCCCATGGAGAAGTTTTCCTGGTCCTGTCACACAGTGGTGGGCAACAGAGATAAGACTGTGTGAGAAGAGTCCACACTGTCAAAGCAAGTCGTTGGAGAGAGTGGCTGGCTTCCGACAGAGGCTTCCATGAGCACACCACCAACTGACCTGAACCCTTCCTCTGTGTCCCAACTGTTGTAAACTTGTCAACATTAACAAACATACTGAGGTCCAAGCATCCACCAAATGCCTCTTCCAGGGGTCCATGAAGCCATATTCAAGTCACAGCAATGGCATTTGCACAGAGAGCTGAGCAAGAACTGTTACTCAGGATTTATGGAGAAGATTACAGTGGAAAGATGTGACAAACCTGCAGGCAGGATAAAAACCAACAGATTCGGGGTCTAGGAAGATGGAAGTGTGGCAGAGGCAGGCCAATCCACAGAAAAGGTTCAATTCTGCAGGTCACAGTAAGTAGTCTAGTGAACACTAGGGGCACAGGAGGGTCCATTGTAAGGTTTAAGTGTGGGAATGACAATGTGTTTGTTTTGTGTTGACAGTCTTAGTGGGATAAAATTTTGTACTAGGAAACCCTATTTGAA